TAGATAGAAATGATTCATAGATGACTGACTACCAATAACATTAAATGGAGTTTTGTTTTGTTACTTATTTTAAAGAGAAATGTATGAAACTCTTCCTATAAACTCAGGTGAGCAATTAAGGACCATAATAACATTCTTTTTGTTTTCTCTTTTATTATATCTTGCTCATGAGAAAGTGAAAAATATTCAAAATGCCATGCCGATATTGCGCTTCCGTAAAACGATAACTCTATGTCTTTTTAATAACATAATGTGATGTCCATATAGTGATTTTTAAAAGATTTTAATCGATAACCAGTTTAAAACTTTATAAAACGTAATTGATACTTGAAAAACAAAGTGATTTATTTCTTCCTGTTTTACTCGAGTGGTTAGTAGAAATTTACGTAGCAAACGGGCTTTTATATACGGCCAGACGACCATGAAACATTTCTTAAATGCCTTCAACAGATCCATAATTAATTTAATACCCGCTATTAAAATTATATTTTGTTATATTATTATTTTGTATTAATGAATGTGCATTACAGCCATATATAAAGAGAAAATAATGAATCACGATTGCCCAAAGAAAAATGACTTTAAATTTATAAATTTATTTAAAATTCAAAAGCACAGTTCATGATATGATAGTTTTATGAAATTATCAATAAACAATTTACGTATGTGAAAATTGTTTTCAGGTCATGTTAAATGCTTATTTGAGATGTTTCTTCTTTTTTTATTGCAGGACCATTTCAACTCTCTCACATACACGGACACCTCTGTGGATGGGTCGAGCCTAGCAACGGAGGTCAATTATGCTTAGAATTACTTTACTTTAGATGCTTAGAATTACTTTACTTTAGAGTGCAGAAATTAATAGAAGTATAAACTGATTTACTTGACTTGTACAGATGTAAAAATATCTTGCATATTGACATCTTTTTGTCCTTAGTAATTTAACGAAAGAAAATAAAAGTGTACGTACAAAGTTCCCCGCTAGAGACTTCGGATTCTCTCATGAGAGGAAGCTAGCTGGATGCTTTAAGAAGGTCTGTGGTTCTACTCGGGTGATCGTTCTTGCTTGAAATGATGTTTTGCGTTATGAATTCGTCTTAAAGATTCTCGGTATGATATATGACCCTCATCAATGGCTCGGGTTATATATGCAAACAACCATTTATATAGGATTATATTACCTGCCAAAACTCTTTATAACTTTAAAGCGTATTTACATAATTGTATAGAATAAAGATAGGAGATATTAGGTCGTATTATGTTTTCACCGGGAAGTTTTATTTGGTTTCAGATATCATCCTCATTGAGCAGTAAATTTAATGGTCCAATCCAAGCATTGAAAAACCTGAAAACGGCTATAGAAGCCGAGATTGGAAATTTCCGAACGTCTACGAGCATTGTCGAGTGTTGCCGAGCAAGAGGGACGACTTACAACAGTCGATTTCGAAGCACGGTACTCACTTTTGATCTAGAACTAACCAGTACTAGTGTCATATGAGAAAAAATGGTCGTGACCCGAGAAGGGTTCGAACCCACGTACCCTGGGCTGAAAGGCAGACGACTTAACCACATGCCTTCATTGTTGACAATGCTTCTCAGTTGACCTGGATTATCATCAAAAACTTAAGTCAACGTAATATTCTGCTTGGCGCCCAACAGTTTAGGGTATCAACGAACTTGTTGTTCTTTTCTTTCCCCGTCTTTAAAGATAGATTGCGCATGTTAAGGTAGAATTCAAACGTATTAAAATTTTCGCGTTTTAGTAACTATATTTTTTTGAGATTGCATGTAAAATCTCAAAACCTTGAATTCTTAATTAGTCTAGTGGCATGCCCGGAATACCTATTTGGATTTATTTACACCTCAACGAATAAGCACTTGAATTTAATGTTTAAATATGAATAATGATAGAAGTAGCACCCCAAACAGCCCGAATACATCTTTGCATTAATGTTTACTTAAATTTGTTTCATGAATTTTTATGCCTATTAAAATAAACCGAACATAAACTTAAGATCATTACATTTTAATCTTTCAAAATGCTAATCTATTGAATCTGTTGTCTGTTCTTTTTATACAAAAGGTTAACATGAATGAGGCATGCATAACTAAGTCCGAAAACTCGCCGAGTTCTATCCGGTATCCAAACAACCGGATCGTCGAGGTGATGAAGAAAAATTACCAAGAAAATCCGGAACTAAAGTGGCAGTATTTAGGCACTGAGGATGGAATACTCATGAATTACCCATCATTTAAATTTTCAACTTGTAGAGACTACGATCCTAGATTTAGGTAATTCTTTCACGAAATGGCGGCATATATATATTCGTTATTAGCTATATTTTTTTTGAAGAGGTATTGTATCACCTAGGCAGGCGCCGGCGTCACACTTTGGTTATTTATTTATTTTTTATTTATTTTTAGCTCACCTGAGCTAGCTCAGGGTGAGCTTTTAGGATCGTTGAATGTCCGTCATCTGTCGTCCGTCCACACTTGTTCGTTAACACTCTAGCGGTCACATTTTTGCCTCAATCATCATCAAACTTTGTCAGGATGCTTATCTAGTTGATAGCTCGGATGAGTTCGAACATGGGTCAACTCGGATGAAAAACTAGGTCACAGGAGCTAAAAAATAAAAAAAAAAACCTTGTTTACACTCTAGCGGTCACGTTATTTTTGGCCTCAATTATCATCAAACTTGGTCAGGATGCTCGCATTAGTGTCTAGGTGATAGCTCGGATGAGTTCGGAAATGGGTCATCTCGGATGAAAAACTAGGTTACAGGAGCTAAAAATAGAAAAACCTTGTTAACACTCTAGTGGTCACATTTTTGCCTCAATTATCATCAAACTTTGTCAGGATGCTTGTCTATATGATAGCTCGGATGAGTTTGAACATGGATCATCTCGGATGATAAACTAGGTCACAGGAGCTAAAAATATAAAAAACTGTTAACATTCTAACGGTCACATTTTTGCCTCAATCATCATCAAACTTTGCCAGGATGCTTATCTAGATGATAGCTCGGATAAGTTTGAACATGGGTCATCTCGGATGAAAAATAGGTCACAGGAGCTAAAGATAAAAAATCTTGTTAACACTCTAGTGGCTACAGTTTTGATCCAAATATCATGTAAATTTGTCTGAAAGGTTGTTTTGATAATTTCTAGGTCAGGTTCGAATATGGGTCACATGGGGTCAAAAACTAGGTCACACTGCCCAAATATGGAAAAACCTTGTTAACATTCTAGTGGTCACATTTTTTATTCAATCATCATCAAACTTGGTCAGGATGCTTGTCTAGGTCATTGCTCGAATTAGTTTGAACATGGGTCATCTCAGATGAAAAACTAGGTCACTGGAGCTAAAAATAGAAAAATCTTATAAACACTGCAGTGGCTACTGTTTTGATCCAAATATCCTGTAATATCCTGGTTTGAAAGTTTGTTTTGATAATCTCTAGGTCAAGTTCGAACATGGGTCATCTCGGATGAAAAACTAGGTCACATTTTTGGTCAGGATGCTTTTCTAGGTCATTGCTCGGATGAGTTTGAATATGGGTCATCTCGGATGAAAAACTAGGTCACCGGAGCTAAAAATAGAAAAATCTTATTAACACTCTAGTGGCTACTGTTTTGATCCAAATATCCTGTAAATTGGTTTGAAAGTTTGTTTTGATAATTTCTAGGTCAAGTTCGAACATGGGTCATCTCGGATGAAAAACTAGGTCACACGGCCCAAATATGGAAAAACCTTGTTAACACTCTAGTGGTCACATTTTTGACTAACCTGTCATGAAACTTGGTCAGAATGCTTGTCTAGGTTATTGTTCGGATGAGTTCAATGGGTCAGGTGAGCGATCTAAGGCCATCATGGCCCTCTTGTATTGTTTTGCATGCAAGTAGTTATCTCCAAAACTACTTAGGGGAATGTGTTGGAACTTCATACACTTATTTGAGAGCATAATAGGGGGTCACTATCTAAGGCTCATAACTGACATAGATTTTTACATAATTATGGCCCTTTTTGAACTTCTACATTATCCAGGATTTTGTTTTACAAAAAATGTGCTTCCAACAGTAAATAGCCTTGTCAGACAGGGCAAATGTCTGGCCTGGATTTGGAGCAAAGAATAGTTACTTAATTTCAAATCGGATTTTTGATTTATCTGTGAAAATTATATTTTTAAACAGTGCCCTTGTTGATGTTCCCTGAACAATATATATTTCGGTTTCAGCTGGCTAAGAGTTATACAAACCCGTTCAACGAAAAATGTTTCAACTCAAATTATTTCTATACATTTAGTTTAGATTAGATTTTTTTCAGACCGTTTTATGTAAGTTCGGCGACACCAGTTGAAAAAGATGTGGTCATCGTAATCGACAAATCAGGATCAATGAATGCACTGCACCAAACTCAAACACTTATACAGATTGCCAAACAGGCGGCAAATACTGTGTTGCAGACGTTAAATCCAAACGACAGGGTACGATATATATACTATGACCTAGAAAAATCTTTATTTTGTTCATTTAAGTTCATTTTTCTTCAAAGACCATACCAAATCCACTAGTGTTGCTTTTACGTCGGCTTGACCATCATAAACTATAACAAGGTCTGATAATATAAGGATCTTACACTGGCTTCCAGTACAGACCGGAATATCTAGCTCGAGGTTGTTGACAGGGAAATGATTTTAAAACTCATTATACGAGGGTCATTCAATAAGTTCTGATAATGGCCTTTAATTATCATATCAAAATCATTATAATTATCATTATCGTCATCATTATAACATGTGAAAAGTATCATAATCTCGTTTTGCTTGTTAAATTTTAGTTTACTGTAATCGCATTCTCGTCTGGTGCGGAAGTTCTTGGCTCGCGGTATCGAGACTGTATAAAGTCCTATGAGTTATCGGAAGCCACGCCCATGAACATTAAATTCATTGAAGGTGAAATAAATAGACTGTCAGTCGATGGAAAGACCAACTACGAGGCAGCATTAGACACCGCCTTTAAATTTTTTGAAAAATCACCACGAAATATAAGCGGGGAAAGCAGAGGTAGGTGAAATATATTTGTTTTGTTTGTTTTAAGCTGTGACAAAGTATAATATATGCTTTAGTTAGACAAGTTGCTTCCGTTATATTCGGGAGAATATAGCCTAAATGGTATAAATAAGACAGGTCTAAATATACCTGTTTTTCACGGTATATATATAATATAATATACAATGTGTTTAAGGAAAAAAATATATTTTAATTATAAAACAAATCTTGTATGCCGTATGTTCTAGGTTTTACGTTACATTGTATGAATTATTTTATATCATTAGTACAGTAATACAAAATGCTGACGAGATATACGATTGAATATAGCCTGAATGACTTATAAATACTTACCGAGGTTATGTTTATGTCAGCAAGACTATATTCTAAGGTATTTCCAGTCAGCACTTTTTATTACGAATTTATAATAACACAAATTGATATTGACGACAAGTTAATAAGAAAGCCCATGAACTTTGAACTGTTTTCAAAGAAGCGCGGGAAAAGGCGCACGTTAAAAAGATGGCGCCATACGCTGACACTGCGCCTTAAAAGTAATTCAACCATGATCTGTAACCCAGCCATGATCTAGTACTGAAACATAACGCTTATCATGGTTAACGTTTATGTTCATTTCAACATCCTCATGGGTTTACCTTTAACTATTTTTTACAATAGTAAGTCGAGAAATATTCCATAAAAACCAAAAAACGCAATCATTATTTTTATGCACACATGTAATTAAACATATATCAGTTAAACCACAAGCTAAGCATGTAAAATTTTGTTTATTCATTTGCTAACATTGCAGGGTCAAGTGGTAAGGACTAGGGTTATATACATGTATATTTTACTAATATTTAGCTTATAAAAGCATAGAATTAACTTATTACCCAGTGTTCTGATTCATTGTTATAACAAAAAATATTGTATCCATGATATCATGCAGGCGCGGATCCAGGATTATTTACCGGAAGGGGTTGCTAAATTTCGAATTTAAAGAAATTTACATATTCTGGGAGGGATCGATATTTTAGTTGATTTCTAGGGGGTGGTGGATCCTCAGTCAAACTCTTGTTGATTTTCACTAGTTTTTGTATGGTTCTCTCTAAAATTAATTAACTATCTAAATCTCAGAGGGGTTCCATGTACTACACAAATCCGAAGGGGGGGGGGCTGTCGACCCCACCTCTTGATCCGCGCATGTCATGAAGGATAACAAGCTGTAAACTATGTAGATGTGACGTAACAATAACCTATTATCCTTTTAGCACATTTTATTCATATGTTGCCATAACAACGTTTATTTCAGACCTTATAAAATTGAACAATGCAATTTCAGCATTTGCAACACGTGAAGTTTCAAATAACAATCATTCATTTGTGGATCCAGGCTTATCAATTTAGCCCTGTTTCCATTTCAGAGTCCAAAATATTTAAATGAAGTCCATATCACACCCTATATAGCCTCGTTTTCATTTTTAGAGTTCAAAAGGTCCATATAAAATCTAGCTTCGATTTTAATTCCTGAGTCCAAAAAATTCATATCAAATACATATTGCACCCTATCTAGCTTTGTTTTCATTTTTGAGGGTCCAAATTCCATATAAAATCCTCATTGTAATTGAGGTAACTAAGTTCTGTCAAAATGTCAAAAATGGTGGTGTGAACAAATTTCATTAAACATGGTGTTGAACTATACTGATTTTATTGGACTCTTAAAAAGCCGCAAAACTTACATCAGACTCTATGTACAACTATGATTCTGAAACGTTTTATTCTCATATGACTTAGAACTTTCAAGCTTGATAAGTAAACTATGCTTACCATATACAGCAACATCAAGCTAATGTTTTCTTGCTTTACATTGTTGTTTGTTTGCTTGTTTGTCTGTCTGTCTGACTTTTTGAACTCTGATTTTTACATAATTTTTGTTATATCACGGTGGTCGGTCCACCAAAGCGGCTTTTCTAGATAACAACTTTACCAGTAAAATTTACCATTTTCTCTGCAAATGACTGACTATTAATTTCACATAATTTCTGAGACTAATGACTATAATACTCATTGTTCGAGACAAGACATAGCGTAGAGGAAAAGTTTTTACCTAGCCCGCATTGTAACACCGCAAAACGTCCGTACCGCAAAACGTACGTATATGGACGTTTTGCGGCGCATATCGTCCACATTTTTCTGACGTACATTTTGCGGCAAAAAGGCATGGTCCTGCCGCATAACGTCCATATTTTAAAGTTTATATAATTTTCGTTAATTTTGACCAGTTATTATCAGTTATTATTGTGTGTTAATTTTAGCTCACCTGAGTATGCGCCTGTCTGTCTGTCCGTCCAAATTTAGCTTGTTACCACTCTAGCATCCAAATACCCTAAGCAATATGTGCAGAGTTATCTGCCCTTGAATTACAATATCTGTTATATTTCACATATTTATATTTATGTTATCACTCCAACACTTTCATTTCTTTTTCAATCTTGACAATTTTCAACAGAATATCTATGACCATAAAATCTCAACAAAGTTAGATTAAAGGCTAAATCTAACAAAAAAACAACAACCAAAAACGCACTATATTTCACTTTGTTAGTGCTTTCGTTTCTTCTCCATTCTTAAATTTTTTATACAGAATATATATAACAATAAGGTATCGATCAAGTACATTTATGAGCTAAAACGACTGAATATGTCAAGAGTTATTTGCCTTTGAATAATAAAAATAAAGACATATCTTAAACTCAAATTATTGAATTGTGATATTCTGCCATTTCTTTGTTATCAATGATTAGATGTCATTCATACATTTATGACAGGACGGACATCTTGAATAGTTCAACTATAATATTGACCTTGAAATGACCTTGACCTCAAGGTTACTATTGAATTTTGCTTAAATTACCACATCTTTGTCATTTACAGATATTTGGATATTGATGACCATTTCAGACGTAGAATTGAGTACGTACTGATATCAGTTACCCATGCAGATTCTGACCAAGTACATGAAATGTACTTGCTTCTTATTTGTAATATTCAATGCCTTTATAGGCAGGTGGGCGATATAAGGCCACCATGACCTTTTTGCTTTGTTCAATTATAAAATTACATTGTTCAATTATAAAATTACATTATGGCATTCAAACAAAACGATTTGCACTCTTGCTCAAATATGACTTGGCCGCTAAAGCCCCTCCCCCATCACAACAATAGCTCTCTCACTCAGATATGACAAGGCGGCTAAAATCTCCCTCCCTCGACAAAAGCTCTCTTTCTCCCTCTAATATGACTAGGCGGCTAAAAGCAACCCCATCCCAACCGACAAAAGCTCTCTTGCTCAATTATGACTAGGAGACTTAAAGGCCCCATCTCCATGACAATATAGCTCTCTCGCTCAAATATGACTACGCTGTCAAAAGCCCCAATCAATCCCCCGTCAAAATGAACGGTAGAAACAAACCTCAATAGTCAACAAGAACACAAAAAATCATTCCCACTACTTGATGCAATTATATGAAAACTTTGTCAAAGCAAAGCTTAATTTTAATATTTTTGTCATCCACTCAGTCCAATCCCCGGTTCGTCCGTCCGTATAGCCGCCTTTTTCTGTATGTCTATACTATAACATTTATTACAATAGCATCGTTTTTATCTCTGCTGCTGCTGCTTTGTTCCATTCCATAAAAAGATCTATTCGAAAAACAGCCTCGGTTTAAGCATATTTCTTTTCTTTTTTTTAATAAAAAAGTCAGAATTATATAGGATCACAAAAATATTGCACTTTAATTTTTATTTCGTCATATCTTTACCTGAAACAATATGAAAGTGACAGAACCAATACAAGTAACGTTTATAATGAATATATTTTAATACAGAAAATATGGACGATATGCAACGCAAAGGCACACACTCGCCGCAAAACGTACCAAGTACGATATGCACCGCAAAACGTCCACATGCGTACGATATGCGCCGCAAAACGTCCACACGCGTACGTTTTGCGGTACGGACGTTTTGCGGTGTTACACCGCATATCACATCTCAAATCAAATAAAGTTTCCTTTTAAAAGGAAAGGCTTGCACAGTTGTGCCTTCATCCCAACCCTTTAAAATTGTTCTTTTTTTTTGGGGGGGGGGTTCAATTTATTATCAAAAAGGGTTTATTTAGTTGTTTTTTTTTGTTTTTTTTTGAAAACCGAATATTTTTTTGTCAAAACGATTTAGATCTATTCTCTATTGTATAAAACTAATAAAGAAAATGATCAATCGTAAAAATATTAACGTGATACTGAAGGAAAACAAGTGTGCACATCTCATTTCCCCCTTTTCGCAGCGAAATCATTCCTTTGCTTTATAGACAAGTAAATGCACTAAAATACTTCGTTACGTGGTACCAATATATTAATAAGCATGTATCAACTATGATCGTGGCAAGGTTAATGATATGCATGGGCTATTTTTAGTTTACTTCACCAAGAAGTTGAATTGCGTTCAGTAGATCTAAATATAACTCGATCATGCGTGATTACCCTTTGAAGACGGAATAATACTACAGTCACCATTCTCTATTGTATAAAACTAATACAGACAAAAAAACAATTATAAAAGAAACTAACTTTTGCGTCTTGAAAAACAAATGAAACGGAACAATTTCGTTTATAACGGTTTAAACCGATAAATCAAGTAAAAATAGAAATCCTATTTATATACACAAACTGGGATTACCGATGTAACTAAAATAGCTTAGATTTCCGCAGTATGACGGAATCGCCCGAATTGTTACGGTTGCAATCGGAACTACATCGGCTATTATCTTAAATCCGAAGACTGACGGAAAAGTTGCGATTGGCACAATTGCATCTGGTTTCCCGTTCAATCATGCACCAACAGATGTAAGCAGGAAACCACCTAACCGGAACAAGTTTTCCAGATGAAATGGCTTGCAGCTGTGGCTGCAAGCCAAAAATTAATGCTCTTACTATTGACCTAAGCGGGCGGGATGAACTGGATCAGAGGCAAAGAAACGTTTTTAAAGAGTTATTTCCTCTTTAATTAATAATTTTACTTTGGAAATTCTTTTTGCTCTTATTATTTTTTTTGTTTTTGACGGGATTGACTTCAGATTTTAAATTGCTGTCTTTTACATTAAAGCATAGAAATGTCTGGTTTAACATTTATTGACAAAATCATAATGCATATTATGTAGTGTTGTGCAAAAATATAGAACATTTGAGTGATTTCTTGATACTCATACAGATTTAAATTTATATAATAGTTTTTGTTTGCTTTCATAGTATTGTCTTCCTTACTGTGTCCAGTATTTTATTAGTCGAGCTTCGCTGTCTCCTGTGACAGCTCCTGTTTCTTCACTAATTAGCCAATCCCGACGGTGTTCAAACATTTGACTTGTAAATGACTGCGTTTAACATCCTAATTGTTTTATTGTTTTAAGTAATGGCGTTTGCCATATAATATTTATTTATATTGTTGCCAAAGAAATATTTGTGCCGAATTTCAAAATTTAAAAAAAATCAATTCAAAACCGTGTGATTAAACTATGCTTACTTCTGTGCTAGCTAAGACATCTGAGAACTTGTTTCTGATAATTTGTTTGTTCTGGGATTTATTTTTTAAAAAAAGTAATAAAACAAAACTTAACAAATGTGCACTTAAATACTTGAAACAACATGTTTATTCTTACAGAAAAGGTGATATTATTTCTAACTGATGGGGAGAAAACCGCAGGCGGAGACCCCTTATCTCTAATTGCCAAAAGGAACGGTGACCTTGAAAACGAGATTGTGATCCTGACGTATGGAGTTGGAGCTTGTAAGTACTCAGTTAATTCATATCGCGAAAAGTTGTTATTAACACAAAAGACATTTTTTTTGCGAGAAGGCGAAAGGTTATTATCCTTACACAATTCAGCCCTGACACATGTTCATACAGGTTTTAAATACATATACAATGTATATTATTTCTTCATTACTTCTGCAATATAGGAAGCTGCAATGGCTTGACAATTCTATCTGTAAAAGAAATTTGAAGCCAATCTATTCCAAGACTTGGCTAATACCTGATAACTTCTTTATATTTACATGTATATTTTCTATTTATATATGATGTTTGTTCTTTAACATTACCTATGTCGTGATCGTTGTATGGCGAACACAAACAAGCTAGCGGAGGAAAAATTAGGGCGAGACAACATACGGAACCCTATCTCTGCGTTCTTCAATTTAAATGAAATGAAATAAATTTAAATATAACAATATAAACTGTATTATACTATACATTATTATCCTTGTATGCTACTTTTTCATAAAATATGAACCAATAGAAATGGACGCGGAGAGACACTCACTTCCGGTAAATTCACATTTTACGATATTTTTTTCTTTTCACGGATTGAAATTTGGTCTTTGTCCTAAAATTGAATTTAAAGTTGGTCCATATGCTCTTAATTGTTCCTTAGACTCAGTAAATAGACTTTTCTAGTGTAGTGTTTCAGTAATATATCGTTTTAAGGCATTGCCTTATTCATCTTTAAATGGCATTAATCGTGTGATTTCATTTTTGCCCATTATTTGGCTTTGGCTTGTTGTATTGACCCTCGTCCTATGCACTCACGCTTATACGGCAGTCCTTACTCTTGAGCCAAATTTCAACACCTTGCAGTAACAAGAAGTACGGTATATATGCAAACAGTGACAATATGTAAATAAAGTTATATCCCCTACAGTTTACAACAAATCGCAACTGTTCAGCAGTATTTGCAATGAAAGTCTATAAGGCCAGTTTTGAACCCACGCAGCCAGCAATCCTTAGATTACAAGTCCAACACTTTGATTGGGAGCTATTGGCAGATACGCGATGACGTAGGGTCCTATCGTTGAATAAGCTAAAGCAAATGCATTCATTTATAAATGATAACCGGTTGCATGGTTGTGTCTTCGAGTAAAGGAACAGACAGCATATAAAAACGGTATCATACGTTGCAATTCCGTTTTCCTCTGTCATCTTTGGTGTCTACACAAAGCTATGGAAAGTCTACGACGTACAGGCTTCAGGACAGTAATCACTTCTGCAGAAAACAATTTATTATTTTACTATTATAATAAAATGACTGAGTTTGAAAATGTGCAAGAAATGCGTTGCTACATAATGAAATGATCAGTAATTACGTAATTTCATATCAACTGTATCATTTGGATTTAGACAGTAGTATTGATAAACAGCTTTCTTGCTCGTGCTGTAGAAAATATTCTTGTCCAAATACGAAAGTACTTAATTTATCGAAATAGATTTATAGAGTTATTTGTATTATCTTTTGCTAGATAAAGTAATGATGCCTTTTTGCTTACTAAAATAACGCCCAAAAAATAATGAATTTGAAAATTCCAAAAATCTTGCAGTAGCTTATACCTCTTCCCCAACACCTCTACTGTCAACAGCCTTTACAAATTTGGCTTGAAGAAAGCCACGCTTGCATTATGTACAAATATTGGTTATATATGTATTCTATTAATTTTAGCACATTATTTTCGAATAATTAAAATAGAACTAAAAATTGAATGTCATGACCAACTTGGGGCGATCGCGTAAATTAACATTCGTCATTAGGTATTTTTTCCTCAGAAATCATCAAAGCGTTTTACTTCAAACTTGGTTAACATGTTCAATTGTAATGCCATTAATAAATAAACCGAAAAATACTTTCATTTTGATATCCATTTGTTTTTGATATTAAGAAAGATTACTTTGTCCAGTATTTGCATGCATGTTTAATAATATGTCAAATATTACAGCACTTCCAGAATCTGCGAAGTCAATGCTAACAAAAATGGCTGATCAGTCAAACAGTGATTCAACTAAAGGCGAAATTCAGGTATTTTGATATTCAAATTTTAAAGTGTGCTTTACATGTTTCTGTGTCAGCAGTTTCCACACAGCCGAATATCATCTGAATTTTCTTTCTGTTTGCACAAAACTATTCAGCACGTTTAGGACAAATATTAAAATATAGATATATTGGCTGAAAATCGAATATAGCATACCATTCTACGACAACACAGATTAGGTTGCTGGCCTTGGTCTGCAATGGTCCCATGGACAGAATCTGCTGGCCTTGGTCTGCAATGGTCGCATGGGTAGAATTTGCTGGCCTTGTTCTGCAATGGTTGCATGGGTAGGATCTGCTGGCCTTTTTCTGCAATGGTTGCATGGGTAGGATCTGCTGGCCTTGGTCTGCAATTGTTGCATGGGTGGAATCTGCTGGCCTTGTTCTAAAATGGTCGCATGGGTAGAATCTGCTGGCCTTGTTCTAAAATGGTCGCATGGGTAGAATCTGCTGGCCTTGTTCTGCAATGGTCGCATGGACAGAATCTGCTGGCTTTGGTCTGAAATGGTCGCATGGAAGAATCTGCTGTCTTGTTCTGCAATGGTTGCGTTGCATGGATAGAATCTGCTGGCCTTGGCCTGCAATGATCGAACGGTTAGAATCTGCTGGCCTTGGTCTGCAATGGTCCCATGGACAGAATCTGCTGGCTTTGGTCTGAAATGGTCGCATGGGTAGAATCTGCTGGCCTTGTTCTGCAATGGTTGCATGGGTAGAATCTGCTGGCCTTGTTCTGCAATGGTTGCATGGGTAGAATCTGCTGGCCTTTGTCTGCAATGGTCGCATGGGTAGAATCTGCTGGACTTTGTCTGCAATGGTCGCATGGGTAGAATCTGCTGGCCTTTGTCTGCAATGGTTGCATGGGTAAGATCTGCTGACCTTGGTCTGCAATGGTCGCATGGGTAAAATCTGCTGACCTTGGTCTGCAATGGTTGCATAGGTAAGATCTGCTGACCTTGGTCTGCAATGGTCGCATGGGAAAGATTTGCTGACCTTGTTCTGCAATGGTCGCATGCGTAAAATCTGCTGGCCTTGGTCTGCAATGGTCGCATGGGTAAGATCTGCTAACCTTGGTCTGCAATGGTTGCATGGGTAAGTTCTGCTGACTTGGTCTGCAATGGTCGCATGGGTAAGATCTGCTGACCTTGGTCTGCAATGGTCGAATGGGTAAAATCTGCTGATCTTGGTCTGCACTGGTCGCATTGGTAAGATCTGCTGACCTTGGTCTGCAATGGTAGAGTGGGTAAAATCTGCTGACCTGGGTCTGCAATGGTTGCATTGGTAAAATCTGCTGACCTTGGTCTGGAATGGTCGCATGGGTAAAATCTGCTGACCTTTGTCTGCAATGGTCGCATGGGTAAGATCTGTTGACCTTGGTCTGCAATGGTTGCATGGGTAAAATCTGCTGACCTTGGTCTTCAATGGTCGCATGGGTAATATCTGCTGACCTTAGTCTACAATTGTGCATGGGTAAGATCTGCCGACCCTTAGTCTGCAATGGTCGCATGGGTAATATCTGCTGACCTTTCTCTGCAATGGTCGAATGGGTAAGATCTGCTGACCTTTGTCTGCAATTGTCTCATGGGTAAAATCTGCTGACCCTGGTCTGGAATGGTCACATTGGTAAGATCTGCTGACCTTGGTCTGCAATGGTCGCATGGGTAAGATCTGCTGACCTTGGTCTGCAATGGTCGCATGGGTAAAATCTGCTGACCTTGGTCTGCAATGGTCGCATTGGTAAGATCTGCTGACCTTGGTCTGCAATGGTCGCATGGGTAGAATCCTATAATGCTTGCGTCCGATCGCTAAGCGTTTCATTAGAATAAAACGAATATGCTATTATTATTATTGAAAAAGTATTTATACGCGGACCACGCACTTTAATATGGTGGCTAGCGACAACACGGCGCACAAAAGAGTTCCAAATCAGCCACCATACTTAAAAAAAACAATTGTCCTTTACTTTACAGAAAGGAATATTTGAACATATAAAAGATCCGTCCAAGCTTCGGTCGGCCATGGCATCATATTACAACAAATTCAGCAAGGACAGCAGCACCCAGGAAGAGGTTACTTTCACTGTGCCATATTACGACATGTTTGGCTTAGGTAATTTATGTTATAAATTCGTATAAGCATGAATGTGTGTGTATGTGTGCGCGTGCGTGTGTGCATGCGTGCGTGTTTGATATTTACTCAAAGCTATATTCGACTGTTGGTAATCAGAGGCTAATTTGATAGTATCTTGAAAAGAATGAATTTTCTATTTTCCCATATTCAATAAAGCAGTCGGCACATTTGCGGAAATCAAGGCTAAACCTGCCAAAATGGCAGTTGAATATTGTGTTAGTTATTGTTTGATTCCTTTTTCGTGATGTAATAAATAAATTCAGTACTGTTATTGTTTAAGCTTAAGATTTTTCAAAGTTATTGTTAATTTTGCTAGAACTTGAAACCGTGGTTCTGTCGTAACTCAAATGCAAATTTTCTTCAGAAGTATCGTAGTTTAAACACAGCTTATTTCAAACAATATAACCACACATATACAAATACTAATAAAACTTACACGATACAGTCATGAGGTGGGTCCGGAAGCTTTGCTATATAAATGCCTTGTTGTTAAGACAAGAAGATATGTGAGTTGCTCGATATGCATGTATAAATTCAAATAACTTTATTTTTGTTCAAAGGCCTCAGGCCCAAAATACATAGCATACATACAACAATATAGTAATATGGTTGCGTCACCTTAACAATGTTTATTAATGCGAAAAAAGACTAGTTGTTTATGTTATCCATTTAAACATTTACATAAAACATAAGCTTCCTTAATGTGATAATATCACGTGTACCTATTAATACATAAAAATCATGTAGTTCTTTTCCGCCAAAATACCAATTGAATAAATACTTATCACGGATTTGTTTGTATTTTTTACATATAAAAAAGCATGGAATTCACAATCTATACTATCATTACAAGTTGTACACAAACGTTCTTCCCTTGGGATATTATTATGTCTGCCTATTTCTATACCTAATTTATAGTTGGAGCAACGAAAATTACAAAACGCCTTTTTATGTTTAAATGGTATTCCTATTAAGAAGTATCGTTCAACATTTAAAAGTGATTTAAATTTATTATAGTGAAAACGTCTACTAGAATTCGTTATATTTTCAAACCATTATTGAGTACAACAATCAATAAGTCTTTGTTTGAAAAGTTTAAGAAACATATTCGTGTCACCAATTTCTTGAGATATCCAGACAAAACCATAACCATTTCTAAACAGTACATGTTTAACTTTGGTAACCCAACATATTCGACCTACATCGTCTAGTGACTTCAACATTAAATAACACTGTTTAGGATATCTAGATGAAGGCATGGTCAGAAGTTTACAAAAATATCGTATGCAGTTTGTCATGTACGAAATACTTAAGGGCAATCTTCCACATTCCCCTAAAACCATAGCTGTTTTTGTAGTTTTTTAACAGATAAATGTTTTCGACAAAAATCATTATGCACATATTCAATAGTTTGGCTTTATTCAAAACCCCATATTTGTGATCCATAGCATAAAATTGGTTTAATCATATGGTCAAAAATTTTAAACAACTCATTACTTGAAAAATGACCGAAATGTTTCTGATAATATTTTAACGATAATATTGCCTTTTGGGCTTGAGATGCCATTTTTTCCTTAGCGTGAGTCTATGATAATTGAGGAGTGAAAATAAGTCCCGTATACTTATACATAGATGTTAAATTTAAGCTTTTACCTCGGAAATACCATTTCTCATAATTATGTAAAGGACCACCATTACGGAAAACAATTACTTCTGTTTTATCAAGATTGATTTCCATTCCAGTATTATAACAAAAAGTGTCAATTACATTTAATTGTTGTTGTAATTTAGATACAGTCTCTGCACAGTTTGCTACATCATCGGCAAACATAAGACATAATATATCAGGTATATCATTAGTAATAAATATTCCTGTGCCACAGTTTTGTCTAAGTAAGATAGACAACTTATTGATAAAAAGAATAAAAATAGTCGAACTAGATTTATCTCCCTGTCTTGTTCCTATGTTACACGGGAAAAAATCAGTTAAACCATTTTGTGTTTTCACACAAGACTTTAAATCGGAATACATACATTTTAAAACCCGTAAAAAATTACCATGAATGCCTATTTTCTGTAGTGAATCAAATCATTTTGAATGGTCAATTTTATCAAAAGCTTTTCGGAAATCGACATATAAACAATAAAAACGACCACCTTTTTAAGACAAGTAATTTTGTATCATGGCTTGTAAACAGAAAATATTATCAATAGCTGAGTAATTACACCTGAAACCTGCCTGACATTCGTCTATTTCATTATTTTCTTCAGCCCAATTATATAACCTTTTATTAACAACGCCAGAAAATATTTCATACATTGTATTTGTGATAGAAATGCCCCGATAATTGTTCGGTAAGGAAGACGACCCAGACTTGTAAACTGGACATATAATACTTTGACCCCAAGTATTTGGAAAATTTCCTGTTGTTAGAATTGTGTTAAACAGCAGTAACAAATGTTCCCCGATGTCTTGGCGTGAATATTTAAAAAAAATTCAGATGGAATCCCGTCGAATCCAGAACTTTTATTATTTACAAGTTTAGAAATAACTGATTCAATTTCACATAATGTAAAATGTAAATTTAGTGAATTCGCACTTTCTTCAGAAGATACATGTTCGTTATTCACGTGTGACGGCACTTTTACCGCGTTTGCGTCATACAATAGTTTATTGAAATAATCATACCATTCTTTAGAGGAAATGCTATTGCTTGTTAAATTATTTTGTGGTTTGGCTAATTTCAATTGTTTCCAAAAGGAAATGGCATCAGTATATTTGATTAAACACCCTTAGTAAAAATTAACATCATATCTTACACTTAAAGACATGAGGTTATTTTGTGTTATTGGGAATAATACCAGATTCAAACGATTTTGTTTTATAGAAAAGTTCTTATTTTGTGTCAAGTGACAAAAAAAACGGGCCACACAATGAACGATTTCTGCAGCTAATTACATGCAACTATATAGATTATACATCACTAATGAAAATTAGTATTCAAATAATAAGTATAAAATGTTTATTTTAGGTCTACTCACGACGCTTTGTCTGCCACTTTTCAAGTCTGATCACTCCTTATTCGGAGTCGTCTGCTCCGATCTTACTATGTCAAATCTCGTGTCTGATATCACCTATTTCCGCCAGGGAGAGAACTCTTACTCATTTATCATTGACGGCAGAGGGCGCACCTTGATGCATCCTCTCCTACCGTTGCCGTCACAGGCAAGCGATGACCCAATTTACGTGGACATTCAACATTTAGAGAGACAAAGTGATGCCAAGGAAGTCATATCATCCATGAAAAGGTAAAAAAGTTTATATTAGGGGCTTGTAAATTCACATGCCCTTATTTACTACTTTCTAAATCTCTTTAAAATATTTCATTAATTTTAACTTGATTGAGATAACATGATAATGCATATAATTTTTGCTCAGCTAGCTGTTGATAATGATCAAATGACTAAGCATTAATGATTCTACACTCTTTCTACATTCGAATTACAATTACCATCGACTGATTATTCTACACTCTTCTACATTCGATTTACTTATACGCTCGTCCGATGATTCTACACTTTCTACATTCGAACTATTAATACTCGACTGTTCCACACTCTTTCTACATTCAAATAACTAATACTCTCGACTGTTTATTCTACACTCTTTCTACATTCGAATAACTTATGTGCGCGACTGATTATTGTACTCTCTGCTTACGGATAACTTTTATACTACACACTTTCTGCATTTAAAGTACTAATACGCTGGATTGAGGATTCTACATTCTACATTCGAATTACTAATACGCTCGACCGATGATTCTACAATTTTTCTACATTCCAATTACGTATACGCTCGATTGATTATTCTGCATTCTTTCTACATTCGAATTACAAATACTCTCGACCGATGATTCTACACTCTTTCTGCATTCGAATTACAAATACGCACGACTGATGATTCTGATTATTCTACACTCTTTTTACATTCGAATTACTTATGCGCGCAACTGATTATTCTACTCTCTGCATTCGGATAACTATTATAGCACACTCTTTCTACATTTGAATTGCTAATACTATCTACTGATTATTCTACACTCGAATTTCTAATATTCTACTCTCTACATACATGCATTTTTGAACCATACGTGCGCTTAATTCCTTGACAGTTTTACCTTTTTACATGAATACATCGAATTGCAGTTCATTTTTAATTGTGTACGTCAAGCTCAGTTTTTTAAGATGACAATGATAGCATGTTTATTATTATTATCATCTCTTTAAAAGCAACAATTACCGTCACCAAAACCATTGTTTAAATCACGGGGAAAAAAGAAGGATGGCCGCCACAACGATTGTGACCACGGCTACTACTGAGATAACAACTACGACAAGTACGACTACTACGACTATAAGATACGACTATGACAGTGACGAATACAATTATATATATAATATTATATTATTACGACGACTATGTTTAGTAAAAATGCATCACTTGTAAAACATATGCGAAACGCACGTTTTTTTATTCATATACAAACAAACAAATGGTTTCTCCAAGAAGAGGCTGTATTACACGTGGTTAAGACATATTTTTCACACGTTTTTCATATGACTTGAATTGACTTCGCGTTTACTTATAAGAAAATAATTGGTATGGATAACATGAAAAGTTATTTATTTACATATTATGTTTGTCTTTTTTCAGTGGAGTAAGCGGAAGTAAGACATTTTATTCAACACGGACTTTTTCAAGAGGGTCTGTGGACTATGAAGGAATACACACAAAGTCAATAAATTCTACATATACCTGGACTCCTGTAAGTGATATTTATTTATCTTTTAGCTTGAATCAATTTTCATCTTGAACATTTCCTTTGTAATTTTATAGAGGATATTGAAGATTTAGTACTAGATTTATTGAAAGTGTTGAATAAAATATTATGAATAAGACGTTGAAAAGTTCATTC